AATCAGAAGTCGACTGGTGACTAGCAATGTGTTTCAACTAGAAAATGGAAAATTTAATGCTGTAATATGTGTAATTTTGTCTGTGATAAATATATTATATAGCATCATTATTACATATTTAAATATTAATAAAACGCTATCGTAATTTCTCTCTGATATAATTATCATTAACGAAAACTATTTTCCACAAAAGAGGATCAGCTTTATATTAATACGATGTTAATATCGGAAACATCAAAATCTTTTGTGATTCCGTACGTAATTCGATAAGCCTGTCGTCAGTAGGATTACAACTGGACAACTTTGGAAAATGCATTTCTGCGCTGCCTCGATTTAAAGTTCAAATAATTCGCAATGTACAACTTGCTTAGAACACAGAGCAATTAAAACGTGCACTTGTTAGTAATTTCCTAGATTAAACTTTAACTGTAATTTTAAATGGCACGAATGTGAGGCAGAGAAATGTACAGTCAAATTGTATGGCGTTTAACAAATACCATGTACAAATACCGTCGTCTTTGTGTGTATCCTGCCTGTAAATCAGTTTATTCTTTTGGGTTTATTACAATCGTTTACTACTTGTGTTTTCAGTTTTATGTTATGCGCCAGCGTGAATAGTACATTTATCCGTCTGTCGTAAGTCATTGTTATCTCGATATCTTGCATTCAATAAATCTTGCTATAAAGTCTCGAGCCGTTGAAAAGCTAGGAAAGCACAGCAATTACCATGTTCATTCGTTATTCATAACCAGTTTAAAAGCTTGAAACTTTATGTGCAAAGCAGAAGCAATTTTTTTTCGACAATAAACAGTAAATAAATGGTGCAAAAAAACTTATATAAATGGTATTAGTTCATTCTTACATTTAAAACTATCTCAAATAAATATATAGTCTTAAGATATCATAAGACAATCAAACAAAACCGAATTAACATTTTAAAACATTATTTATATCATAAGACAATCTTAAAAAAAAAAAGAATTATGACCGGCCTATATATGTTATTTTGCAAAATAATATATTTATATAATGCATAAAATATTATCTTTCAAATTATACATAATAATTATAATAAGAGAGTATACAGTGTTTAACACTAAAATAGAGATTAATATATATTATATTATACTTATTAATACTATTTAATGTATATTATATATTTTTGAAAAAAGAAAGATGTAAAGAGAAGAAATAAATTAATTAATTTAATCATTCATATATTGCAACAAAAATCACGAAAAATCTTAAAAAAACATGTCGTTATGAATTTAATAAACTGCATTAAAAATCGGTCATTTTTATTACTTTATGGAAGTTCTAGAAGTATTAATATTAGGAACATGTATGAATGAAAGAATACCTCCCATAAAAAGTTTCTGCTTTGCCAAAATATAGACGCTATTTTGTGCAGCTAAATTTTAGAAAACACGTAGGTAACTATGATATAAATTAAAATTTTCATGTTGTAGAGGAAAATCACCGTTATACTTTATTTTTAGATTATATTTTTAAATTATATTTCTTGAACACAAACTAAAAATAAACTTTTTTTTAAAATATAAATTAGAAAGTGTCTTCTATCAAATGATATAGCAGTTTTTATAATACTTTTTGGAATTTTGCAATAATTAACTTTTTTATAAGACAAATAAAAATTAATGTATATAATAAAATGAGCCCCAAAGCTGACATAGTAAATAGTAATTGTCATAGTAACCAGTACTTAAAAATGTTTAATTTATAAAAAATAAAGAAATATCTTTTTAAGAAACCGATATCGATATTACGACTTTCCTCTATAATGACTAACTGAGATATAAGATTTATTTGTAATCTCGATGTGAGTTTATCAAAATCGGCTTATCAGATCAAAGCTTGAAAACTGTTTACGCTTCATGGGATAAATTAGCTTATTTTTTGATAAGGAATGTTGCAACGTACCTCTTTTATTAAATTGTAATTAAAACGTATATCAACAATGCAACATTTATGTTCCCGATCTCATCTAAACAACGATACGGCGGATATAATTCTGAGTTTTCAATTTCCTGCAATCCGTCTTCTATTTCGTCGAGATGTTCATTTCGTTTATAATTAAAAACTCGTTCTAGCCCATGAAAACTGCGCGAATATGTCGATAATTCGCAGCGGGATAATAAGTAGATATTTGTTCATTCTAGCCCCAACACGCGGAAGAGAGGTACGCTCAGTCCCATTCGTTGTTCTTATAACTATTTTACAGCGTCTATCTAACCGAGAGATGCGCGCAGAATTTACGTTGCCCATAGAACATCGCACAGCTTTTTGTCACGCGTCGCGTGATCGTAAAGATGACGTCGTTCTGAGGATGAATTTACTTTGTTAAAGTCCCCATCGTCATTTAACTCCAGCCATCTCCAGGCTGCTATACATATACATGCATAATATATATGTGCTATGTATATACATATACATATATATACATACATGCGTTGTACTACATTACGCACGTTACGTTTTCATTTTTCTACAAATTTGAGACTGACCTGAACGTTCCGGGAAGCATGTAAAAGTCGGAAGTGAAATAAAGACATATGTGCGTTTTGCGAGATATATCTTACGGTTTTCATATCCTGCATAAAATGAGTACCATAGAAATAAGCTATTCTTAGTGAAAGATATTGACCTTTATCCTTGCTGTAAAATTTTAAGTCAGATGCATGTCTGATGGAGAAACAAAAATAGCGATTCGTTGCAACTATCTTGCCAATGTCTTTGCCGACTGCGAGCATTATGAGAAGAACTGTAGCCCCAAGACATCTTTCATGAGTAGAAAAATCATAACTGTTCAAGAATACACGCGATATGGTAAAATTGAAAACGAGATAATATTACTTGACGAATGTGCGCACCTTTACAAAGGTATCTCCCACTTCTCGTATTCAACGTACGTATTATTCTTGAAAAGGAACAATTCTTTAACATTCGCGTTCTTCTCTTCCTGCATAAAATTACTAAATTCCATCGGTATAAACCTGAAAGAAGGATTTAAACTCGGCGAACATTATATCAGAGAAATTCGCAATAGCAATCTGTTACAATTACTTAATCAATATTTTCGCTGTCTAAAACAGACTGGATAAAAGGCGAATTATTAAACGCAAATTATTAAAAGCAAACATTTCAAGTACTTTGTATCCCATGAAAAACACAATAATTTGGAATAAAATTCAAATATATTATTTTACGCATTTATTTGCAAGATAGCTTTTCATGCTTTAATTTTTCATGCTCGAGATAAACAATAGGCATTTTTATTTTTCCACACGTGGTTTTAACTTTATTAGCCAGTTGCTTGCCAGTTAAAACAGCTAAAACAGCGATTTGTTGGCGCAATTAATTCATCAATTTAGCCAAGGGGTTATAAATCAAAGTCACGATTCAGCACGTAAAAGGCAAATCATCTCTTAGAACCGTTTGCAAATATGGCCGAAACGCTGTATAAAATTTGCACGGCTCCATCAAAACTGCAATGGAAACGGAAACGCTTCTCGTGAGAATGGATTCTGGAGAATTGAATGGCGAAGGGACTCTCAGCTTGCGCAGCTGCAATTCCCTCAGAACTAGTCACAAATACATGAACGCATCGCCAGTAAATCTCCGCTTCTCACTCAGCGCGATATCGTGATACATTACGAATGAACTCGAAAAGACGGCGCTGGTGGATTATTCAATAATAATCGAAGCGGATGAATCTGGGAAACAGAGCGACGAACTGTCAAGACAAAAGTGCACGACTAATTCCCACTGTGACAAAGTCGCTTTTAAAAGCTACTCTACGTTGTGAAAAGCTCGAAATAAAAGTGATGTAGGCAAAGCAGCGTGGCATACATAAAGTACGAAAATTTCACCTTTTCCTTTCAACCGCTCAGTGCGAAATAAATTTCTTGACAAATCGTTTAATCCGTGTTATAAATATTTCTGGTTTAAGTTAAAATAATCTTACCCAAAGAGAACAAAAATTAAATAACGATGATAAGAATAGCGTGTCAGCGTGCGTTGATGAGAAGTCCTTCTCGATTAAATCCTACCTGTAGTTTACATTCGATGTGTGAACGCGTGTTTCATATTTATACATTGTCTGCTTCATTCTTAATATATATTTACATTTTATTCTACTTCGGAAGTCTCACGATTCGAGAGCTGCTTTACGGCCTGTTTATTGAACAGTCTATATCTAGTCAGATCGGCGAGGTTGGCCGTTATCGATTCGTTGTAACATGCTTTACTGTACGGCAAGAAGCCGAAACATGCTTACGGGGATTATGGTAAGTCGCCACTAGAACGATAGGCGAATGAATCTTCGAGATATACGAAATGTGTCGGAAACATTGCTATTTTTTTGTACAGATTCTTTGATTAATTATAAATCAAAGTTGATTTTCTCCTCTCTTTTTTGTTAGCAAGAAACTACTTTAACTGCTACTTTAACAAAATTTTGTTTGAACAATATTTATAGATTTCAAGATATAATTGCTTTAAAAAATCTATTTAATTCTAACAAAATCTTTTATATATATATATATATCTTTGTTAAAATATATATTTCATTCTAAATTAATTGAGGGAAAGAAATATAGCTGCAGAAAGTAGCAACAGTTTCGAAACATTTCGGAGAATCGACCAATGCAATTAATCTTCTCATGCAAAGATTTACTTTCTTCAACTAAAAAGAAAAATACCTGAGAATACAATTTAAAAAAAAAGAACATAATTATTTTTTACTAAGTATATGATGAGATAATAACAAGGAATAATAAGGAAATATATTAAAAAACGTTATGATTTTAATTCCTAAAAGTTCTTGAACAAGAGACTCTTCTCCTAAAGATCCCAACCATTGATGCTCTTTATTGAAAGGGCTTTAGTCATTAACGTAGAAGTTTATAGAACTTTAGGTAATCCCTCAAACAAGAACTTGTATCAATTAAACTATTATACATAAAGTAAAAGTACTCGATTGCAATGTTCAGAGGTATGAGATTAAAAATGCATGAGAGAACTAAGAACTTTAAGAAGTGATACGCCACGCGCGTCGTTTACCTCACCGATGTTACGCGGCGTATCGTACATAAATTGGTCAATTTGTCAGCCGATTCTTACGTAAAGAGATGCAAATACACTTTTCTTCGGGCAAACTCTCGTGACGGATCCTTCCTATTAAGTCGCTCTCGGAAAGCCTTTCCAAGGACTCTCCGCGCTGTACCATGACGTTACACTGCGCTGCATCAACACTCAGTGACCCTCGCAGCGTATGGATGTTGAGCAAACCATCCATTTAACGGTTCACTGAGAGATGCGATCACTACTCGTTCGGAGTAAGCCACTCTCGAAGATCCGCGTCCTGTCAAATTTACACTGCGGTCGCTCCATCGACCGTTACTCCACGTCGGCGTTTCAGTGGCTTCTCCACGCTGTCATGTACCGCTGACGTCACACAGGAGACCGCTCTCCTCCTCGGACACGGAAGAAAGGAGCGCATTAACTCGTCCTTTCGAAGGGACACCGGGGAATCAGCAGAACGACGGGTATCAGAGGCATCAATGGCGCCAGCAGCAGCAACAGCAGCAACAGCATCAGCAGCAGCGAAGGGCTGCCAGCCAATGAACGGCAGGGACCACCGGCGGATTTTGTGGGTGGATTTCGCATGCGGTCATTCATTACGTCGCTGGATATCGCCGCGCTGTTCGGCTCTGCCGAGGGACAGCTTATCGGTGCGGCGTTCATTGTGTCGCTGGCATTCGCGTTGTTCGTAGAATCCCGGGAGCAACGGCTGGCATGATGGGCCAGGCAGGCAGCATAGGCGATCGCGTGCGGGATGTAACTCTGATCGACGCTACCGGAGAACAGGGCGTTCGCGAGGGGCCCAACGGCGAACACCGGCACGTCCTCACCCCCGTGCGTCGCCCACGCCCTCGGCACGCCTGCCGTCTGTAATTATAGTCGTTACAGATGCAATTACTGTACCTAAATCGGATGGGGGGAAAGGGAGAGATTGCACGAAGCTTCCCGGTGCATCTTGTAGAAAATTTGATAGGATTGATAAGAATGCAAATAGATGATTGAATCTGTGATAGATCATAAATTCGTAGACGATCAGTGCTAATTTGTAAAATAAAAACGGAATGAAGAATTTTAGGAGAATTTTAATTGATTGAGATAAATCACTTTTAAGTTAATGTTTATAGGGAGAAAGCAGAATAAAAAATTTATATTCACATTTATTTCTTGCCGAATATTAATGATAATGAAAAATCGTGTTAAGGATGTATCTCTGCAAAAAATCATAATCATTTTTATCAATAATTATTAAAATCAATTTTTATCCAAGTTTTCATCATCGCCAAATTTTTTGTATTTACAGTTACTTTTAAATGTAATATAGGAAAATCAGTAATTTTTGATTTTATTAAAAAATACATAAAATATATCCTTTAGTTCACTTTAGAATTAGAATTCAAGTTGAATTTTTATTTGTAATTTTATATGTCGTATAATAAAAAAAATATTTGAAACATTAAAAATACAAACTTAGAGAATATTATAATGTTTTGAACTGAAAAACCTTAGAAACTTTCAAAGACATTTTATAAAACTATCTGAAAGACATCTTTGTATGACATCTTTAAGTTACCTTATGTCCCGATTTCTCTCGAACATTTCATTTGAAATCATTTTTAGATATTCTATTTAGCAAGGTAAAAACTATGGTCACATGAAAACACATTAATAAAAGGAACGTAAAAGAGGAACTGATGTTACTTGATAAATTGGTATATAAATAATTTAAAAATACGATCTATACTATTCTGACACAAACAATGAATTACTAAAAATAATGAAAGGATTTTGTTTAAAAAATGTTCAAGACATCATCATTTTATGAAAGAATACTATATCGTAGTTGTTGAATATAACGGAGCATTATTTTTTAATGAGGCCGCTTTTATAACTACGGCTATATAAAATACAGTAGTAAAACAGCAGTATAAACTTTCAAGGTATTTAACATTAAATTTAAAAAATGTTATAGCGGGAAACATCGAATTGTCACAGATACGTATTATATGTGCACACTCTGTGAATCGCACGTAGAAACATACAATTTATTTCCCTAGAGAAATACATTTATATTTTTTTATGTACAAGGAATATATTTCATGAATGTAATCTAACTCATAAAATACGAAAAAAATTTTTGTATTAAAATATTATGTAATTAAAAGTAGAGAATAAAATTAACATTATATTAATAAAAATATATTTCATTCTGCAATTAATAAACTGAAAAAAATGTTTAATTGTGTTAATTTTTATATTCAGTTTTATATTTAAAAATTGCAGAAATGATACAATTACGTTCTGTATAAAATAAAATAAAAATAAGAAAGAATTAATTTTTGCACACTTTATATGATGTAAATTATACTGTTTAAATATCATGCTTTACAATAAAAATAACACTGCAATATAAAATTAACCCTTACCCTACTAAGGGGGATCACTAGTTACCGAGCGATTCCTGTTCGTGCAAGTTTCTTTGCGTCTTTCGCAAAAGTAATTATAAATTATACTACACTTTATTATTTTCCAAAATGAAGTGCCAATATTTATTCTAGAAAGTATGTTGAAAGTATATTGGTGAATTTTTAGAGATTTTTTTAATCATTTTCTGAAAAAAAATAGACGGATTCTAGTGCCTCCTAGTATAAATGAGACACCAAATTGTACCTGGAAGGGTAAAAGTTAATAAATTAATTTGAAAAAATCGTAACTTTAACTTCAAAAATGTCTTTAATATCGATACTCAATATTTTATCGACAATTTGTTCAAGTAGATTATTTATTTACTTAGTTTTTTGTTATATTTATATTTTGTTACATTTCCGTAATTTCTAATCTACAATTTCTAATCTACAAAATCAGTAAAGTCCAAGGATTGGCAGAAAATACTGTTCTTCTTTATCTCACTGTAATTCGTATTGCTTTAAAATTGAACTTCCTCCAACGGAAACGGCGCACATTTTAGAATTAAAACGAGAATAAAATTAAAACAGCTGGTTCGAAAAGATATCGCCGTGAATTTCAACTACGACCCACTGCAATTCTCTTTGCATTTTATTCCGCCTGCGGCTACGTTGTGCGGCTCAAATGAGGCGCACTGTTACGACGAAAAAAGGAATTCTCTCACAATATTTCCTTCTCGTCGAGACACCGTAGACCCTTTGCCGCGATCTCGCCGCGGATGAAAGGCCACGGCATGTCCTGGAGTAGACACGGGAAGAAGTGGTTTTGAGCAATGAGGATGGAACAAAACTTTATGCCCGTAGGAGACACAACAAGTGCTAGGAATATGGCTGGAATGACGTTGATGACGATGCGAAAACGCTTATTTTATCTTTCTCTGATCTTTTTTTAGAATTTATATCCCGATGATCAAAAGTTGGAAAAGAAATTACAATTAATTCAATCAAAATCAATTTGTAACACATTAATAAATGTTAAATGAGAAAGATCTTAGATTTATTTTTATTCTCGCGTCGCGAACACTCAGTAAGATGGATTTCCTTCTTTTTTTTTCTCTTTTACAATACAAATCGGAAAGTGTAGTTCTAAAAGCATTGGATGTAGTTACCTTAGTTGGACATTCTCTGAATCACATGATTTAGGTAAAATCATTAAATATTTCTATATTCAATATTTCTTTTCAAATATCATAACAGCTTTCGATCCAGCTAAGATCAGAGGCAAACTATTCATACAAAAGATATTCAGCATCAAAAGCAAAATATCAATAATTTCACAGAAAGCATTGCTAGTCTTGACAAGAATGCAAAAGGGATGCGCTATATTCATTGAATATCCGTAAGAATAGTACAAAGAACGTTGTGCTTCTTCTAAGAAATATATGAAACTAGACAGAAACATTATTCTTATTATAAACTTGTCAAAAGAAGGAGGAGAGAAAAGAGAGCAAAAGATAAACTTAATGTTGCAAATAATAAATATAAGATGGATAAATTACACAGGCCTACAAAAAAAAAGTACTACTGTGCTGGGGTGGAGATCCAGCTATTTTTATGTATTTTGAATCACTGAATACGAATCTGATATAAAAATAAAACCAGAGCAAATTTTCAATCTAGAGCGAAAAAAATGACTCATATTTCCTATTTTTTATGTCTATTTATGCCGAAATTTTCTGAATGAATATCATATAGTCATGCAATTAGATAAATTTTCGGTTTTTTTACGCTTATTTTTACGTTTATTTTTATGAGTTTAAAAATGTAAGTATATTCCTTTCGCGCCAATAAAAACGATAATTTCCTCTACAGAAAAGTATTTAATTCATTTCATTTTACATTTCATTATACAAGATAACAGCTATTTAATTTTAGCAACTTTCGGTTGTCATTCTGTGACATTCTATATGAAAAATTCCAAGAGTATCTTCCTCACGAAAAGCACTTGTCCAGGAATAATCGTAAGGCAAATAGTCGCGTTGAAAATAAATAGATAAAAATTCCTCCGATGTTCGCGCATCTCTTAAATCCTACTACGCGTCCTCCTGAGAGAAATCCTGCCAGCGACGATGATTGCTTAAGCGTAAAGCAACATCGAATTGCTGAGTCCATTGAAGCAGGATGTAACTGGAGAAATGGCGTCTTAAGGAATTATGGTGCGTCGGGAGAGCATTAAATATCGTACGGGGTTAGCGTTATCCGCCATCAGTACACCGACTTCGGTATTTCTATTGGGTAATACGAAAACTCAGAGATATATAAAACGCAGAGCAAAGCATACCTCGTGCATTTTATTCTCGGCGACAAAATCTATGGAATGGATCAGGACACTAAACGCTTACCGAGATAAACAAGAGAATCAGATACAAAAGCAATAATGGCTGAAACCGTTAAATTTATTAAACAAACATCTAACGCTGTGGCAGATTAGATAGAATTATGAATTCGCTTATTATGCATACATTTATTATAATATAAACTGTCGTAAAATCAAAAATATTTTAGATTAGTTTATATTACAATGAATAAGATATATTATAAAAAAAAATATATATATATATATGTATTATAAAATATATATATTATAAGGTACCTCAATATTTTTTGGAAAAATATTAAAGTCACATTCGAAGCTCGGAATTTTTTATTTTTGCTTCTCTCTCTCTCTCTCTATCTCTCTCCTTCTTCTATAAAATAATATCCTGATAAAAACGAAAAGGAGTATTCATTAGCGAATGTTGTTATACGAGACAAAAAATTCTGGTTGCGTGAATAAAGAGTAAAAAGGATTGTTTTAAGACATTTACAAGAGGCGGATATTTCATGCGGGGTGAACACCCTTACGAACCGGGTGAAGTCGATCGTGCGGGGCGGAACAGATTTGTACCAGTTTGCGCTTCAGGAATGCAGAGGAGTGCAGGGCATAATACGAGGGCGAAAGAAACGGCGCAACGCGAAACGGGCGAGTTATCGAAGCTGAAAAATTCTCATTAATTTGCGCGCTATATCGCGCGAACGAAGGGAGTCGACGTCTACTAAATAGCTCGATATCAGCTCGGCACGGTGTTTAATTCGTCCTGGATATCTGAAGCATTAACTCCCAGCATGTAATTGCAGGCATAAATCACTGAGATGGGTACCTGCTTTTATTACGTACCTGCTTTTTATTACACCGTGTCGGTACATATAAAATGCGAGGATAGATAAGTCCAGTTCCAGGACATAGAACATTTTTATAAAATAAATATATTTCAAGCTTGCTTTAACGATACGATAATTATTTCCATAATTAGCATGATATCATGGCAGTATTTTTTGTTAGCAAAAAATAAAAGGAAGAACATTTTGTCATCGCATTATAAGCCACGAAACAAAATTTTCACAGATTAAAGTACAGAGATAGAAATGAGTAACGAGAAACATTGTTCATCATTTAGTCATACAAGCATTTCTTGATTGGAAATTTGAAGCATTTCATATAATCAACGGGATAATTTTACAATTTATTGAATTTTACTTTTACAATGAAGATGTTTAATTTTCAGATGTTTAAATAATATAACTAATTTCAAATTATAAAAATTCGCATTATATTGTTTCAATAGCATTATTAATCTTGCCATCTCGCATTATATAATTTTATTATAATTCAATAATTCATTTAAAGATCAGGTTACGGAGATGGACAATAACTACAAGTCATTCTCTTCATATTCTCGAGATAAATTGTTCGATCGGAAATTAGGTCACTGTTTACTTTGGAACTATCGCATGCACGTTTACTGCGTATGTACTTTGTATTATGGTCACGAGATTTGCTGCTAATACCGACTGGTGGAGCCAGATTTACGCGCTTAATGCATACCTGACATTCATCGTGTAAATCATATTCTCATAAAATGGGAGCAATCTCCTCTCGTAAAATACGGACACTTCTTGTTCCGCGTGATATCGATTTATGTGAATTTACGTTTACATGATAGAAAATGCGACCGCGCCCGAACAAGGGTCTACGTGGCACTATCGTAGCAATATTACGAGATACTATCCTAGCTCAAACTATGCACTCATGGTATTGTATCGTATGCAGCAAAGCATGCAGATTACAACGCAACTTTTCAAATAGTCAAACAACAGAACTATTCACAAAAGCACGATTCATATTAATAAAAAATTGTTTAACTTGCAAACTGCGATATGTGTGGCTGATGGCTCTTTAATTATTTAATTACACGAGCCTTAAAATTAAATTTTCTTAACAGGTCTTACGCAATATGCAAAAAAAAATATTGAAAATAAATCAAAGAGATTAATTAAGATTATTTAAATTTCTTTTTTATTCAAATATTATTAAAATGTATTGTTTTCTTATCACTATCATTATTAATCTCTCAAGATCTATGTGGAATAAAAGTCAAAAAAATGTATTTGACAGATGCCAGTATTAAAAAATATTGCAAAATTTGCAGATTTAAGCAATTATTATATGTAGAAAGATTTTACTAAACAAAAGTAGTATCTAAAAAATGTAATTAAATACAGATCTAAAAATATTTGTTTGAATTATCAAAATAATTATATAAGATGCTTAAACTTGCTAAAATGTCAAAACTTTTGGCATTGCTTACCATGTTTGAAGTTCTTAAATAATTATTTTGATGATTCAACAAAATTATTTTCAAGTCTGTATACATTTAAATTTTTACTACATTTTCATATAATCGTTCTTTCCGTGTACATATTTTTCTCACAATAATAATTCTTTAGCTAACTTTCTTCTATAATGTTCTCATTCAACTATCACTTGAATTTAAGGTGATGAAATGTCTTGATCGTTTTCCTTCTTGCAACTTATAAAATCATCGGTGAAAGAGGACAGAGAGTTCAACGTAATTTATCGCCCCAATAGTCATCCAAATTTTAATCACTTTTTTCCCGAATTACTTATCGCTTATGACGATTCACTCTGACGGAGCATTCCGAGGAATTGAATAATCATACTCGAGAATCACACCGGCAGATGATACCTTTATAACTTTAGAATGAATTTTGCTCAATGCATTCCGAGAGCGGATGCTGTGAGCGAAAAGATTGTACGAATTGTTACTTTGTGATCTCAAGAGCAGGATTTTAATATTGCAAATACGCAATAACAAACTTTGGATAGAGTATATGAGAAAGATAATCTTTTTAATTTGTAATATTATAAATATCTCGATAAATAAAAATTCAACTAAAATCATTCTGAATTGAATTCAGAAAATTTTATAGCTTCTCGATCTCGACATCGTTCTAATTATTTTTTAAACAATCGCAATGTAACAAGATGTTTTATGAAAAAGAAAATTTGTATGAAATGAAGGAAATATAATATATTATTCAATATATTATAGGCAATTATATTCTCTGTTAATCAAGATTAATTTACGTTAGTATCGTAATGACATAGTGGTATAATACATTATATTTAAATAAGGCAGTAAAATCATAATTATACACGGCGTGCCGGATTTACGCGTAAAATTTGTTAATGTCCACACCTGCCCGCATCGAAGAGTAAATTATTGTACGCATGAGTTTGGGATGATAATATAAAGCGAAGTGCGAATAAAGCGCGAAATGATCTACCCCATATTCCGCGATGTAACTCAGCGACGTCGAATAATATCCGTATCGTAAATATTCAGTGAATGCTAAAATGTCTCTGCTCGATATGTTGTAAATACAAAATGATATAAAACTCGGCGAATACGTGAGAAAACACAGATAGTTGTGAAACACATGGTAAAACATTTTTGTTTACAGATTAGTATAAATTCAAATCTCTATGTAAACATATGATATGTGGAAAACTAAAGCAGGGAAAACGCGAGTTCGTGGAATGTAACATAAACTCGATCGAAAATAAATATAAATTCTATGGAAAAGCTATGTCAGCGAAGGAAATTAAAAATCAATAAACAACAAATGCAAATAGAATAAAATATATAAATAAATATATGACACTAAAATAAAACAGTCAATGTATTGTATTGCACTTTTTACAACTAGACATGTGTCACATTTTAAAATTCTCTTCATATACAATTCAATTTAGCACCCATTTGAATTTTGAAAAATTATTTATCAATGGAATTTATAAAAAAAATGAAATCAATTTTATTACATAAAAAAATTCAATTCAATTAAATCAAACATTTTGCGAAGACTGCCAATATCCTTACATGCAATCTATTCTATCAAGTAATTAAAACATAACTCTAAAATTAATTCAATTTTAAAACCATTTAATATCTAAAATTGCAATATATTTCTGAAATTAAATTATTATTAAAATTATACTTTGTTAATATTTTTAAATTTAATGATTATTTTATTTTTATGCACTGCTAAGAATATCATTACACAATCATTATGTGTATTTGGTATATCTGTTTGTCAAAATTAAATTTGCCTCATGCTCGATCGTGAAGCCCGTTCATTAATTTTACGGCAAGATTAAAAATTCCTAGCGCCCATCGAACGCGATATTTCAGGATACTCGAGAAAATGGTTGGGGATAAGCACTAGGCAGTCGGAAGTGTTTGGCAGAATATTTCACGAACAGCTATGGTACGTGATGGATTTTCGAACGCGATCTCGATTTCGCCACTCGATCATTCTCCGATCCAATAAACACTGGCGAACTACCTTTCGCGCGTACGAAAATGAGAATGGGTCTCCCTTACCTGAATGGAATCTTTCCCAGCTTCCCGTAGAATATTCCGCGGATGTATGTAACCCGGACCGTTGCTGTAGAGCAACGTTGTGTAGGGCTGTCCGTCAACGTCCGACACCTTGCTGTCGGAGCCTGAGGGAGAAAAAAAATTGATCAAACGACTCGTCGGTGGAATTATTGATAAATCATTTTATGAATAAATGGTTGGAGGTAAACGAAACTCGTAACTTTACATTCATCAACACGATCCGGTGAGATTTAATGCAATCGTAAGAGCCATCAAAACTGATTTAATTTCATGCCTGAGGCAGTTTAAGTTTCCCTGCTTGTTAATCCTCCGGAGATTACGTCAAAATCTATAACATGATTACGTTGGATCTGTAAAATCAATTTAATTTATGTTAATTAAAAGATAAGAGGTACTAATTAATTTCGACGAATCAAAATGACATAACTCGTATAAAAAAGAGTGAACATTAAAAAAGAGTTACATTGGAAAAAGAATCTAATTGTATTATAATAATTGGAATTCTTATTGAAACTAGACAAATCAGAAATTTCAGATTGAACCTATTATAATTTTATGTAACTAGAATTTTAATTAATATGATTAGAATTTTATGCTATGTTCATGTTTCAACCAAAAATTTATCTTGTCAATATATTTGAATAAGAATCCAAACAATTTAGCTAATTATAAGAAAAAATAGTTTTAGTCAAATTGGAAATTGTGATATTTTGTAATTTATAAATGCTGTTCAAAAATTTTCAATAAACATAATTAACAATAAAAATGGAATATATTTCACAACAATAAACGATTTATCAAAACTAGATAAAGTACTGTAGATAAAAATTTTTATTTTGGTTAGACTCAAAATAACTTTCAAACATACTGTAATAAAATATATTTAAAAAGCATCTAAGATTCAGCTTCGACCGTAATAGACATTAAATTTTTACTTGTGTGTATTCACATATATAACAATTTTAATAAATCGTTTATTATTGTAAAATATATTCCATTTTTGTTGTTAGTTTTATTTATATGTATATATATATATATAATTATACGTGCATTCATACATAATAACGTCAGATATACTATTACTAATGAAATAGTCATCGAGACAGATACATATATCGATATGTATACATCTACATCATTCCTTATATGGTTACATAAATCTACTCAATAATGGAACGTATAGTTATGTATGTATTTAATTGAATAAATGCTTATACAATATTTAAAAAACTGTGATACCAATTCCTTTCAATATACTGCATTATTAAATTCTTCAAATTATATCCAATTTGAATTATTTTTAATCATTTCTACGGGTTGTCGCTTCTATTCAATATGTTGTTAATTTAATTAAAATAATAAAGTTAAACAATTTAACTCAAGAAAATATATTATATTTAGTAAAATGGATTGATTTGATAGAAATGGATTGATTGACGTTTTGACATATAGAAGTTAAAAATAATAAAATGCTATTTAATTTAAAAGGATTGGATTACTCTTTTGATATCTAACATTGTATGATTAAATTCAAAATAGTAATTTTCAGATGGAATTACATACAGCAAAATCTGTCCATCTTTTATGGGTGTATCGGAACTTTTGATCAGCATCTAAAATCACTTTTTTCATATGATTGGCGATTCCTTTGCAGTAACATAAAAAAATTAAATTGTTTAACATTTTTAACATTTTGAAAAATTTATAATTAAGTAAATCCAATATGGAATCACTGTCAGCTCCGGAGGATTAAGAAAATTACATGATCTTACGTACGTTAAATACCAACGTCTGCGGAATGACTTTTGGAAATTGCACTTTCGGACATTCCTCGACCACGAAAGTAAACTTCATTCACCAAGTTTCTCGGGTGCAACACGTTTACTTTATTACCATTAACGAGTTACTATTGTGGCGTCACCCGGATGACCTCGCCAAGAACGGACGGATATTTAACGGTACAACGGATGAAAAAAGAGGAGGCGGAGAAGAAGATGTAGGAGGCTATGAGGCGAAGGGATGAGTAAAGACTCCGGGACATGCCGGTGGTAGATATGTTTTATTCAAGAAGCTTTCTTCTTCTTCCGCGCGCAGCCACCTTCAAAAATAAACCACCACCGTGCGCCGTTTCAGCCTGTCTGTCGTTTAACAATGTATAATTTAACCGTTTATTTGCCCGCGCAAACGCGTGGCGTTCACTCTAATCGAGGCGGTCGGTGCCGCTTCTCTTTAAACTTCTCCTCGCATTTTACACCCGATGGACTGAAACACTTTCTTGTTTCGTCGAGTAATTGCACGCTTGTTGCCGCTACACGTCATGACTTTTGACTGATGTGGATAGACCTACCGTTTCGCGTGCTACGGCACTTCACATCGGTCGACTAGGAGTAACGAGGAAATCACGGAGAGAAGGAAATCATTCATGGTGATTCGTCAATCTATTTGTTAATTTTATGCAGGTCTTCGATGGAACAAGGTAATTGTATTTACCATTATATGCTGTTCCACAAACAAATACGAGGTTGTTACAAAATGGAGAACAACTTGGATGAAATTTGCTCTTCAAGTATTGAGAGACGAATATCTTTTACTGTGGAAGCGATAGACGTTTTAAATGTTAATTGTTACCGGCAATGGGCGAGGCAGCCATTCTTACAAGATTGTTAAATCCTTAATTGGACGTCAATTGAGTTAAATAGCCCGCTGATAAGGTTGTTGAACTACATAAAAAAAAAAGAAGAACAGACGGCCATCGTTACAGTAAACATCTCGCATCTCGCTAAGCACTTCATGGGAGGTAGGTTGTAACACTTTAATTGCCCATCTGTAACGTCTGACCTGACGTGTAATACCGGCATCGGGATAGCGAAATGCGCTGCTACTTCAGGCTACCCGACAGCGTCCGGAATGAAATGAGCCTTTGCGTTCCTTTCAGGCACAGTTGGAACTCACGAATTGCACGTTAAGTGGGAAGTAAAAGGAGATCACGAAGTCAGCAAAGTAATATCCTGCAATCTGCCTTTAGAGACATTGTAGGGTAAAGTCTGAGATAAATGGATATACGTGTGAGCGCGAAATTATGGGAAAAACCAATAATCTTTTGTCGATATAAATGAGTTTTATGAAGTTGTCTGGCTTAAGGATGACGTACAGCGATTACGTTAATAGCGATTAATAAAAATGTATATTTCACTGCATGGTTCTCCGCAAAATTAAATTGTATTTATGCTATTAAATTCAATAAAACTGTTTGATATACTGTTAAAAAAAAATTCGTAATATCAAATCATACCCAATTTGAGTTATTTTTATTTATTTTTAGATCGCTACTATTTTTATTCAATATGTTGTTAATTTAGTTAAAACAATGGAGTTAAACAATTTAATTCAAGAAAATTAAATTTGCTTCAAATTTAATTTATTATTTACAAAGTAAACATGTGCGTTAACATGGACATTGTTTATTTCGAAATTAACCACAGAAATAAATTGATTTACATTTTGACACGTATGGAAATTAAAAATAACAAAATGTTATTTAATTAAAGAGATTGAGTTCATCATTGTTTCTTTGATATTTAACAGAATAAAACAATTTGTAGCGGAGATAGCTTTTTTACATTTGCGTTTATAAAAGAGATGCACGTTTCAAGCAAAGATAATTTAAAATAAAATAATAAAGGATTACAAGCCAAGCTAATGTTACAGTTTATATAACAATTAATAATAAACTAAATTTATTTATATACAGGTTTTTAAAAGATGTTTATTTAAAAGGCTTAGCATCAATAACATTAAATTGTTCGTCAATTTAATTCGTGATATTACTCCAGTGTCGATTTAGGATTATGTTTGAAAACCAACAAATAATTGACACACAATTTGCTTGAACTAGAAATTGTATAAATTGACAACAAATATTAAATGAAAAATCGCTTTGATCGAATATGACATTTTTCACTCATGGTGAAACTTTAGAGAAACTTTTTTGAAAATCTAGCTTGACTCGTAATCTTTCATTATTCCATTTTAAATTTTATTCTAAGTATCTTATTTTTATTGTTTTAAACACGGTAATATTAATAAGGACTATCACTTTCACAACTCTTAGAATATGGATAGAATTATAAGTTAGATTGAAGAGAAGAAAGTTATAATCCACAAAATGCAATATATAGCGCGGTCTCCATGGGCCAACCAGCACTATGCTAAGAACGAGGAACAGGTAAGTTATTTGAGCAATTTGAAGCAGTACAGCCGCCAATTCCCGGCTCTCCAAGTTAATCAAGCTTGAAAGAAAGCTTAGCGCCTATTACATTATTTCACTCACAGTTAGTAAATAACAGAGATACAATATGGCGGTTTATTCTCCCTCGGTATACATACAGATCTTTATTTCGGTCGTTTACATAGCACTCCGTACTTTAGAACGTCGTGAATAATATCCGATATGTGCTTTGCCGTCTCGTGTTATATAAAGTTACGTAATGTAAAATTAAGGATGTCGGCTACGAAGAGCGACTCGCATTTGTGAACTATACCGTGCGCAAGCAATTAAGGACGATCTTTTAGCTATCCAAGAAATGTCCTGCGGTATATCCACCAAGTTTCCTACCAATTATATTGAAACATGATCATAGATCGTCCACAGTAATACCTCGTATAATATTGTTGAGCCGATTATAAGCTGATGTGTCATTAGATATTAATTAATGCCATAAAGTATCATTAAAGGCCACTTCGAAAAGCAGTTCGTTTGACAGGTTTACACGAATTTGATTTCATGCCACTAATAACAATTATGACATAATATTTAATGGTGTGAGAAAAAGTGACATTTGTTTGTAATAACACTTGACACATTTAACTGTAAATAAATAAATGTAAAACGATAAATGTACGCTTTTTTTTTTAAATAAAATCTGCGTAAAATTGTGTATTTATTATAAATGTAAATATTAATGTTTGTAAATTAAATTAACAACTTTTGTAATATTTCGCATGCTTGCAATTATTTTCATTTTACGTAAATAACAATAAAAGTAATAATTTCATAATTGCTTGCAACATGATGATGGATGTTTGCAAAAAAACAATCACAGTA